CTGTCCAGAGTTACTTGGTTGGTTACTTAAAGAACTGATTTGATTTCAGCATTTAGAGTCTGTGATAAGAGCTCGGATTCCAAGAATTGCGTCTGTAATTAATAAAAACATTGATGAGCTTGAAGCAGAGTTGGCACGCCTTGGTAGACCAGTTGCTGTTGATGCTGGGGTGAGGAGTTTTTCTTTTCCTGTCTACTACTGATATATGAAAGTTAAGTAATTCCTCTAATTTATCAGGCTCAGCTGTACACTATTCTAGAATTATGCCGCGATTTTGAACGAGTATTTAAGGAGCATTTGGATGGAGGGTAAGATTTTTATTTTATTTTATTTTATTTTCTGTTCAAACTGGCAACCATATCAATTGAATAGACGAGCTGATTCTTTAATCTTTATTCAGAAGACCTTGAAATCGCAACCATATATTTTGTTTTTGTGTTTTCTTTTCAATACTTTTTGCGTGATTTTGTATTATTAATCATCCAAATCAACTTTCTCATGAATTAGACCTCATTATATCAATGATATTAATTCTTATTTGCCACCCAAAACATGAATTATTTTAACTAGATACTACAAACGGAACATGGTATGGGAAGGTAAGATGAATGGAGCACTTCAAAAAATTGCAGTAACTACAGTGCAATATAAAGTCGTAATTTAGACCGTTGGCCTCACTAACCCTGCGTTTTCGTCTGAGTTAATCTGTCTGATTAACAGAGTGAAGATATTATATATGATAATCAAGTTACTATGACATTTGAGTTTGTAGGTATCTAATTTTATAAATTGGATATAATATTTCCGTGAAAGAAAAGCCTTGACCTTTCTGGTTTCTTCTATTTCCCCTCTTAGGAGACCAGGTGGCGATAAAATTTATATGGTTTTCGATCACCAGCTTCCTCTTGCACTGAGAAAGCTTCCACTGGACCGTCATTTGTCGTTGCAAAATGTGAGAAAAGTTATTTCTGAGGCAGATGGGTACCAACCTCATTTAATCGCTCCAGAGCAAGGTTACCGGCGCCTCCTGGAGAGCTCACTTCACTATTTCAAAGGTCCCGCGCAAGCTTCCGTGGATGCTGTAAGTGCTTTTGCTTTAAATAGTTTGATTCGGTTCAATTCTTCGATTGGAAGTAATTTGCTTTCATCATTGGTCTTTGTTTATACTTTCTTTGGGACGAACTTTAATCCTGACTATTATGCTATATGCTATTTGTGGCAGGTTCATTTCGTACTGAAGGAACTCGTGAGAAAGTCAATTGCAGAAACACAGGTTTAAGTTGAATTTATTTATTTATTTTTTAGGTGGATGAAATAATATGCCTTTATTTAACTAATGACAATGATTACAGGAATTAAAGCGGTTTCCAACTCTTCAAGCCGAAGTAGCCGCAGCAGGTAATGAGGCGTTAGAGAGATTCCGTGAAGACGGTAGGAAGACAACGTTACGGCTGGTGGAAATGGAATCTTCCTACATCACCGTTGATTTCTTCCGCAAACTCCCTCAGGAAGTTGACAAGGGAAGGAATCTAGCTCCCTCCACTGTGGAACGCTATGCTGAGGGACACTTCCAGAAAATTAGTTCAAATGTGCTATCTTATGTTGGGATGGTGTCAGAAACGTTGAGGAATACCATTCCAAAGGCTGTGGTTCATTGTCAAGTGAGGGAGGCTAAGCGATCTTTATTAGACCAGTTCTACGCACAACTGGGCAAAAAAGAGGTATATAGTACGTAACATTATGAATCACTTGCTAATGCCATATCAAACTGAATTCAAATATTATAACATACACGATTCATCTTCTTTTAGAGGATCAAACATGTATGGACATGTATGGATGATAGATATAATGGGCCATTGGATGATTGAACTACTGCTAAATATCCAATACTTCACATGCTCAGATACAAATTGAAAACTCAGTCTTCGATAATGAAAATGCAATAACTCAAGAAAGAGACGGAAACTTTCTAGACTAATTTTTTTCTCTTTATTTTTCAGGAAAGGCAACTTGCACAGTTGCTGGGTGAAGATTCCGAATTGACGGGAAGGCGACAACAATGTGCTAAGAGGTTGGAGTTATATAGGTCAGCGAGGGATGAGATTGAAGCTGTTTGCTGGGCCGTATAAAATGAATCCTGAGTTAATACTAAAAAAATGAGAGCTTCTTACTATTCGAATCAACAAATTCCATTTATTGATTTTTTCTTTTTTCTGCTTACGCTGATCTCTGATTCAGAGCTTCAGCGATGGTAAAAAAAAAAAAAAACTCTGAAATTAAGATTAGTTAAATTATTGATTGCTATAAATGTGATTCTTAGCGTTAATAAGTAGTTGAAAATTTAGTTAATACTCTGACATGTATCAGCCAATTTGGTCTTCTATGATAGGGATTAAATTGGTTAAGAGTTGTCAAGTTGAAACATTAATTTGGTTAAGAATTAAATTGATTGACTATTATGCTAGTAAGCTTTTTGGACTAAAATTTCTTTTTCACTATTTTAAGGCTAAATTGGCTTGGTAGTTAGAATCTTAAGAGTTAATTTAACTTAATTTTATATATATTAGTTTTATCAGGATTACTAATTAACATGAAAAATAAAATTTTCACAAAAATAAGTAGTCAATAAAGTTATTCAATTACTCTTGAAATATGGAAAATAAATTATTTTCAATAGATTTGGAACTCGTGAGATTCAGGTGAATTTCTATAAATAGTTTTTGTATTTATTATCATTTTCTTTTTATTTTCATTTTCATTTTCATTTTAATTTTCAGCCAAGTTCAAGAATGCATGTTTTTTTGGGAACAAAGTATGCATAGAGAATAATATTAGAGTTGTTGAATGGGCGTATCTTCTATTTGACCCAATTTTTTCATAGGCCATATCTTTTTTGTTAGGCTTGGCCTGCTAGTGTATTGAGGTCGGCCGAATTGGTAATTTTTTTTAACATATATTAACTTAATTAAAAATATATAGTTTTCATACAAAACATTTATTAGTTTGACTTGTCCATTTCACCCGGACTTTATCAAATTGACTCTATCATTTTTAAGTTTGAGTTAAATTTTCAGGGGAAAAAATTCAGTATGAGAAAATATTCCGGGAGCCATGTTTAAAATACTAATGAGCTTTAAGAATTTCAAAATTAAAATAATTAGCTAACTCATAATGCTATTCTATAGTATTTTTAACTTTATTGTAACTAATACTTAAAATAATTTTAAATTACAGAATATTATTATGAAATAAATTTCACATTTAAACATCAAAATAAAATTATTAATATATAAAAATAATTTTTTTCAATGAAAAATAAACTCATTATGAGGATGGTTAATGGTATTTTGATAATTTATATAAAAATTGAGATAGTTTTGATTTACACTAATATTTTAAATAAAAATAAAATCTTCTACAAATTTTAAAATAATATTTTGGTGAAACTGAGAGTATCTTACAAAATTATATGTTTAAAAAATATATTCGAATAAGTACTTAATAACCCCAAGACAATCGTCCACGGCAGAACTCTTGAATTATTAGGATTTTAAAAATGAAACTGTTTTAAGCTTAACTCTATCATGATAAAACCTATTAGGTTAATTCACCAATGATAAAAATATATTTAATATTGATTATTTTGGGTTTTTTAATGTGACTTGTACATCTGATTTATGTATTATTATATATTATATTGATTAGAATACTGATAGCTGCGGGATAAAAAGCACAGGAGACAACTCAGTTTATTGTTATAAGAATCATAAATAAATTTTATAAAATTAAAAAAATTATTATTATTATTATATTATTAAATAAGGTTGTTAAATAGATATTTGTTAAAAAAATGATGTCAATTACTTTTTTTATTGGTTATATATAAAATGTAATTTGTTGAATTAAAATAGTCATAAGGATATATCTTATTTTGGTTATATTGATCTGATATGTTTTTATATTAATTTTTTATTATAATTAACAACTAGAAATTATATATATATATATATATATATATATATATATATATAACAAATAAATAGTAAATGATTATTTTTATAGTTAATATTTACTACCTATCAATTTATTTGAAAATAAGATCACTACACTAATTCATAAATATATTAATCCGTCATTCTTAATATTAAAAGGAAAAACTTTGCTCACTCCTATTTAATCTCTTTAATTTAATGATAGTGAGATCTAATGCAAATTTTTTGTAATAAATATATAATAGATGTTTATACTTAAAATCACATAATGGTAAACAAAATTAAAAATAATAATTATCTTATATGAACTATGATCCATGAGATACTATCCACATTGATAATTTCTTTGTTGTTTATTATATTAATATAATAATTAAAAAAAAACAATTCTTTAACACTATAATATATTAATTTTAAAAAGACAATTTTTTAAAATTATAAAACATTGTGAATAATTTTAATATAAAATCATATAACTTAGGACAAATTCATAATAAATTATACAATAGATCTACCATTTAAGAAATTATACAGTTTGAAACATTGTAATAAAATAATTATAACACTTTATATAATACAAAAATTGAATTAGAAGATAACATTTATGTCAACAAAATGAAATTTTGTAAAACTCACAGATTAAGTTTACTTATACTTTTTTATATATATAAAGAAATATTGGAAAGAAAAAGAGAAGAGGAAAGCAAACTTGAAAAGAATTATGTCTTGAACAAGCTCAAGTCAACCAAATGCCTACTAATGATGTGTTGTTCACCACCATAGAATAGTCCTACAGCTTTTAGATTCCGTTTCTTCTTTGCCTTGTTCTTTGCATGTTTAGGATCTAATATCTTAAACTTTATAACATGTAGAAGTTAGTGTAAGGTAGGTTTACCTCAAACGATAAGAACAATAAATGTGCGTGCAGGAGAACTTTCCTTGGATGTACCACAGCACAAGTATAGATTATTATTATTCCCTCTCTTTCGACCACATCTCAGATTGATGATTACAAATGGCACGCTGGGTCCAATGCCTCTAAATGGTTTCCATGGCATAGCTGATGTGGTTCAAGGGACTTTCCATCGTGGCAGTCTTTATCAGCACCACACCCTTGCCCACACCACAAGGAATCCCCACTGCATATGTTTGAATATATAATTCATAACTCAAATTACTTTGGATTTATGTTTGATAATTCAAATTACAACTTTGATAAATGCAAAAGAAAGGTCATTTTGTCATGGTGAGATGGATATTTCTATGCACCTTCCACATTGAGAGATGAAGGTCCTAACTTTGCCATGCCCCATCATTAATTGGCCAAGTGGGAACTCTAAAACTCAGTGCACAAGGGCCAACTCTTCTCTTTATATTCCAATTCTGGCTACTTCATACTTTGAATTCAATCTTTGGTATTAGCCTACCTATCTAACACCTCTACCAAATTATTTCAAAATACCATTTTATAGACCCAGGTTTACTATTATATAAAAACTGTTTTACATTTAAATATTTTAAGATATGAATATACATCACATAAAAAGTAAATGTATATTTTTATTAAAAATGTTATATTTTATTAAATTAAATTAATAATATATGAAATTTTTATTCAATTACTTTTATGTTTATTTATCATCCAATTATTTCTAAAACAACACATAAATATTCATGTATAATTAAGTCTGTTTATATTGGTTCATACAAAAGATAAAAAGAAAATCCAATTTTAAAAAAGTAAATTTATATTTTAATGGGTGGGCATGACAACTTTTTTCATTATTTCCGCTTTTGTTTTTATTTTCATCGATAAATTTTCATCCGCATTTTGAGTTTTTCCGTTTTATGTTCTAAAAAATTAATTACATAAATTATAATAAATTAATTTTATCTGTTATTTTTATATATTATTTAACATAAATAAATAAATATTAATAATTTTATAGAATTTAAATTATTATTATTATTATTATTAATTAAATATAATTTTTAATTACTATATTTTTATTAAAATATACCTATAAAAAATATCTAATAAAATAATCCTTATTAAATTAGTTTAATGTAGTAAAAATTTTAAATATCAATTTTTTAAATTTATGAATCCTTTAAAATATATTTATTTAATTAATATAAAATAATAAAATCTAATAAAAAATAAAATAAAAATAAGTTTATTAAAATCAATATACAATATTTAGATGAAGATAAAAAAAACTTTAATATATAATTGGTTGATGAAATTAAAAATAAATAAATAAAAGAATGAAAAAAAATCATTAAATTAGTTAAAGAGATTAAAAAATAAAAAATAAATAAAAATACAAAATAACATAACTATTAATATTTTAAAAATTTATATTTAAATATAAAATGTAGCCATGATAGAGCGGAGGATGCATACCCGTCTCCGCCCCATTCCCGGCAAGTCGATTCTTCTGGTGAATCTCTCTCAATTTGATTGTGACTCCTACCAAAGGATGTATTACTTTAATGTAATTGGTTTCCATTTGGAGAACAAACCTCACTTGGGAATACTTGTTTCAGATTTATTTTTTTATTTTTTTACTTTTTTTTTAACTGTATATAATGTGAAGCTGGTCAAAAGCTTTTCGAAGTATAAGTTGTAACATTAAAATAGTGAAAATATAAACCATTATGAGAAAATGTGCACATATATAAACTTCACGTGAATATTGATATATTAACAATTATTTTAAATTTCACGTGTTGACTAGAGATAATATTTTAGTTTTACATACGAATTAATTTCAAAATTTAAAAGTTTATACCTCAAAATTCATTGCAAATGAATTTGTATTAACTTCATATTTTCTTTATCAATTTCATAGTCAAATCTTTTACAAATTTTAAAGTGGTTTTCGTCGTCAAATTGAGACAAACAACATGTGGTCTAACCAAGTTACTGAGAGACAACCTACGGTAGCGAAATTCTTCTTATTCAAAATATGAATAGTTTTATTCTACACATTTTGGAATGTCGAAGTTGGTAACATTGACCAAATTCTCTATAAATAGGAGAAATCCGGTTCCCTCCATGCACTAAGCTTGTCTTCTTCATCTTAATTGCTTGCTTTTAGTCTTCTTCATCTTAATTGCTTGCTTTTAGTCTTCCATTCTCTCCTTCACATGGCTCTTTCTCTTCTGTTTCCTCTTCTTGCCACCTTTCTTTTCATGCAAACTCTGGCAGATACTTCCTTTATACAATCTCGTGCAGCATATTACCCAAACTCTGAAGAAAACGGCACAGACGGTAAGAAAATTAAACTAATTGAAGGATAACAAAATACAAAGATGTGGTGAGATTTTGTTAATTAACATATATGTTCTTACTGCAGTTGGTGCATGTGAATTTGGTTCTTTTGGTGCCACCGTTAATGGTGGGGATGTATCAGCTGCATCTAATCTTTATCGAAATGGTGTTGGCTGTGGTGCCTGTTATCAGGTGAGTTCTCATCTAGCTAACACAACTTATAGGATGATTAATTTAGTTACATGACCATGCATGATTTCTGAAGATAGTAACCAAAATTAATTAATGCAAAGCATATATGTAGATATCACTTTTAACACACATACTTACACACAACTTTTTTCTTTTTTGTTATATCTGTCATTTCCTCCGTGTCATCCTTGCATTTGCACGAGCTCATCATCTATAATTATACGCACGACTGATCAAAAGTGCAAGATATATTAAAATAACAATAAAGTATATAGTAAAGCTATTAATTTTAATATTATCTTATACTATTTAATAGTTGTATTCTAAAACTGGGCGTTGCAGTATAGTGTTTGCACTACAGTTGATTCTTTGAAAGTAGTATTTTCTCATTATGTTTTGCTGGGGGTCTATGGTCAGGTGAGATGTAGCAATAGTGCTTATTGCTCAGGAAACGGTGTCACAATAGTAATAACTGACCAAGGCTCAAGTGCTAACACTGACTTCATTCTTAGCCAACGAGCTTTTGGTGGGATGGCTATCAATAAGGACGCTGCTGCTTCTCTATTAGCTCTTGGCATAGTTGATATTCAATATAGACGGTGGGATATTCTTCCACATATAGAGAACAATCTTTTTAATTCATGCCAGCGTCAATTTCTGCCTTTTCTAATTATACTAGAATGTAGTCAATAAATTAAAGACTTAACTAGGCCTCTCTTGCTATCTGCAGGGTTTCATGCAGCTACCCAAACAAAAACATTACAGTTAAGATACATGAGAGCAGCAACAACCCTCACTATTTGGCTTTTGTCTTATGGTTTCAACAGGGAAGTAGAGACATAACTGCTGTGCAACTTTGTGAGGTATACTTTCTCCTTCCCATTGTAATAGTTAATTAGTAATTTTGTCAAATCGTTGAACAGATAATTTAGACAAGACCTTGGTGAATAATTGAGTATGTACAATTTAAGATCATTATTCACTCATTTTCTATACTGAAGCTTATAGTTGTTTAACTAGACATCAGTATATTTGATAAAACACAGTGAATGGTTCAACACTTCATTCAATTTAAAAAGGTGTACTAGTAGGGTCCAACTAGATAGATGAAAAGTATTGTAACGAGTGTAATCTCCTTTTTGCCGAGTGCAGACTCAGAACTTTGTGTGCAAGTTACTGGATCGGAGTCATGGTGCAGTTTGGACCACTACCGCTCCACCGAGTGGACCTTTGGCTTTGAGAATGTTGTTTAGTGCTGAAGAAGAGGGAGATGAATCGTGGGTCGTTCCAGTTAATAACATTCCACAAGACTGGAAGGCAGGAGAAACGTACGACTTAGGGGTACAAGTGGACCAATAGAGAAACAGAGAAAATGATTTATTAATCTGCTACTCTGTTTAACCAAATAAAAAATTAAGTTAATTATATTAAGTTTGTTAGATATTGTTTAGATATTATTTGATATTGTTAAGATATTGTTAGATATTGGTAACCACAATATCAAACAATATCTTCTGTTTATTCTGTTACTTTCAGTTACTCTTTTAGTTGTATCTCTCTACTATAAATAGACCACCCTATGTGTGATTTATACACAAGAAAAATTAATTCTAAACCTTATTTTCTCTATATTCAACATGGTATCTAGAGCTTAAGGTTATCTTGAATTTTTTTTTTCCGCCTTTTGTCCACTGTTGGAGCCGCCCCACCGCCGCTAGAGCCGCCCTACCGTTGCTGGTAAACTGATCCTCCACATCAGAAAAGAATTATCTTTGTCATTGAATTTTATTTGGTAGTGTGAAAGTGCATGTTTAGAAAAGTTCTGGCAAGGAAAGACTTGGTATTTAGTGTGTCCATTAATGACCCACCTCTCTTTCCTGGGAACTTACCTGGTGTACTAGTTCACGTTACTGTCACCGCTGCCGCTGGAGCAGTCATCGGGTCCGCCGCTGTCGGAGAATTCGCCGGAGTTTCATTTTTTTTTACCAGTGACATGATTTTGCTTGTCTCGGTCAGGTGACCATCGTGCCATTGAGATCACCACTATCGGAGTTGGTCATCCCATTGTCTCCTGCACCGTTTAGTCTTGGTGAACTTATTTTTAGTATTCTCATTTTGAATTTGTGCTTCGTGGGTTAATTGGATTACTTTGGATTGTTTTAGGGTTTGTTCTCCCGCTCTTCATGACTTCTTCCACTATTTTCAATTTTGTTAACGATTCTTTTGTGTTGACATCCCATCGTGATGACCGGGCTCGCCCTCGCAAACAGGAAAAAGGGCGTCCTAAGTGTGAACATTGTGGCAAGCTAGGTCACAAGATTAACAAGTGTTATACATTACATGGTCGTCCTCCTCGATCTGTCGTAGTTGTTCGGACAAATCTTTCCCCACCTTTATCTGCAGGGGATCTTCCTTCTTCGTTGCATCCGACATGTCCGCTATGTTCAACAAATTTCTCGAATGGTATAAGGATCAACCGTCTTCTAGTTCCACTATATCTCGTCACACATACAAATACATATTTTGCTTGGTCCGACCCAATCATTTTCTCCTGGTCCTTGGGTTTTTGATTCAGGAGCCACTGATCATATTACTGGTAACAAATCTTTGTTCTCCTCTTTATCCTCTCCTAATCATTTACCTTCGCATTACACCGATCGATGGCTCTAGAGTATCATCTCATGGTGTTGGAATGGTTAAATTTTTTCCTTCTTTAACCATTGATAATGTTCTTTATGTCCCTGGGTCTCCTTTTAACCTGTTGTCCATCAGTCGTCTAACTCGTTCTCTTGATTGTGTTGTTACTTTTACCAACAATTCTGTGTGTTTACAGGACCGGAGTTCGAAACAGGTGATTGACACAAGATGATTGGCACAGGATGTGAGTCTCATGGTCTTTATTATCTCCGTCCCTCTACACATGTTAGTACAATTATGGAGTCTCCCTCTCTTCTTCATGCTCAGTTAGGTCATCCAAGTCTTGCCAAGTTACAGAAACTTGTCCCTGCCTTGTCCAACTTATCTAGTTTGGCATGTGAGTCATGTCAATTAGGCAAACATAGTCATACTTCCTTTCCTCGTAGTTTCACACGTGGTGCTTCGTCCCCTTTTGTCGTGGTTCACTCTAACATTTGGGGACCTAGCCGCGTTAAGTCTACTTTAGGTTTTCAATACTTTGTTACTTTCATTGATGATTATTCCAGATGCACTTGGTTATTTTTGATGAAAAATCGTTCTGAATTATTTCATATCTTTCAAACTTTTTTTAATGAAATTCAAACTCAGTTCCGTGTTTCTATTAGAGTTTTGCGTAGTGATAATGGCCGTGAATATCTTTCTCATTCTTTTAAACAATTCATGGCTTCTCACGGTATTTTGCATCAAACTTCTTGTGTTTATACACCTCAACAAAATGGTGTAGCTGAACGTAAAAATAGACATCTTATTGAAACAACTTGCACACTTTTAATTCATGGAGATGTTCCTCAACATTTTTGGGGTGATGCTCTTCTTATCTGCATGTTATCTCATTAATCGCATGCCTTCTTCGGTTTTAGATAATAAAATACCTCATTCCATTTTATTCCCTCATGAACCACTTCATTCTTTACCTCTAAAAGTTTTCGAGTCTACATGTTTTGTTCATAATTTCAGTTCTGGTCCGGACAAACTTTCTCCTAGATCACATAAATGTGTTTTCTTAGTGGTTTACAAGATCACAAAAAGGATACAAATGTTTTTCTCCTTCTCTTAACCGTTATTTTGTGTCAAAAGATGTCACCTTTGATGAGTTGTCTCTTTATTTTAAAAGTCAAACTTCACCTCTGTCTCCATCCAATCTTGTCAACACTCCTAATACATTTAATGTTCCCGTTGTTTGTGACCCTCTAACCGTGTCTTCTTCACCATTAGTTCTCGCTCCGCAGTCGCCTTCTTGTCCACTCGCCTCTTCGATTTATAGTTCTCGAAACCAATCACAACCACCACCATGTGACTCTACTCAAGTGTCAACTACTCTGTCTCCTCCGGATCTGACACATGAGTCTGACCTTCCCATTGTCCTCCGAAAAGGTATTCGTTCTACACGTAATCCCTCTCCCCATTATATTGCTTTGAGTTATCATCGACTGTCATTACCTTTTTATACATGTATTTCCTCTATTTCTTCTGTGACCATTCCAAAAACTGTCCGTAAAGCTTTAGCCCATCCTGGTTGGCGACAGGCCATGTTAGATGAACTAAGTGCTCTTCATAATAGTGGAACTTGGGAATTGGTCCCGTTACCGTCTGGGAAATCTGTTGTTGGTTGCAGGTGGGTGTTTGCTATCAAAGTTGTACCTGATGGTACTATTGATCGCCTCAAAGCTCATCTTGTGGCCAAAGGTTATACTCAAATTTTTGGGTTGGATTATGGAGATACATTTTCCCCTGTGGCAAAGATGGCTTCTGTTCGTTTATTTATCGCCATGGCTGCTCTTCAACAATGGCCTCTTTATCAATTGGATGTTAAAAATGTTTTCCTCGATGGTGATTTGAAAGAAGAAATATATATGGAGCAACCTCCTGGGTTTGTTGCTCAGGGGGAGTCTTCTGGGATGGTATGTCGTCTTCGCAAATCCCTATATGGCCTAAAACAGTCTCCTAGGGCTTGGTTTGGAAAGTTTAGCAAGGTTGTTCAACAATTTGGTATGACTCGGTGTGAATCAGATCATTCTGTCTTTTATCGACACTCGAGTGCTGGATGTGTTTACTTTATAGTATATGTTGATGACATTGTTCTTACAGGTAGTGACAACCATGACATCTCTCAGTTGAAACAACATCTCTGTCACCATTTTCAGACCAAAGATCTTGACAAACTTAGATATTTCTTGGGTATTGAGGTGGCACAGTCCAATGATGGTATTGTTATATCTCGGAGGAAGTATGTCATAGATATTTTGGAGGAAACTGGGTTGATGAGTTCAAAGTCTCGTTGATACACCCATGGATCCCAATACTAAACTTCTACCAAATCGGGGGAGCCTATATCTGATCCTGAGCAAGATAGAAGATTGGTTGGAAAATTGAATTATCTTACAGCTTACTCGTCCCGACATTTCCTTTGCAGCAAGTGTGGTAAGTCAATTTCTTAATTCACCATGTGAAGATCATTGGAATGCAATCATTCGTATCTTGAAGTATATTAAAGGATCTCCTGGAAAAGGATTGTTATATGGTTCTAATAACCATACAAGAGTTATTTGCTACTCGGATGTCGATTGGGCAGGATCTCCTTCTGGATAGAAGATCTACATCCTGGATATCGTGTCTCCATTGGTGGTAACTTGATCTCATGGAAAAGTAAGAAACAAAGTGTTGTGGCAAGATCCAGTGCGAAGCGAGAATATAGAGCTATGGCCTCAGCTTCCTATGAACTTGTTTGGCTCAAGCAATTGCTTAGAGAGTTACAATTTGGAGATGTCACTCAAATGACACTTGTGTGTGACAATCAGTCGCTTCTTCATATTAGTTCTAATCCCGTCTTTCATGAGAGGACCAAACACATTGAGATTGATCTGTCATTTTATTCGAGAAAAGATTATGTCTGGAGATATCAAGACCGAGTTTGTTAACTCAAGTGATCAGTTAGTAGATATTTTTACTAAATCTTTACTGGGTCCTAGAATTGATTATATTTGTAACAAGCTTGGCACATACGATTTGTATGCTCCGACTTGAGGGGGAGTGTTAGATATTGTTTAGATATTATTTGATATTGTTAAGATATTGTTAGATATTGGTAACCACAATATCAAACAATATCTTCTGTTTATTCTGTTACTTTCAGTTACTCTTTTAGTTGTATCTCTCTACTATAAATAGACCACCCTATGTGTGATTTATACACAAGGAAAATTAATTCCAAACCCTATTTTCTCTATATTCAACAAAGTTCAATCGATTTATCCTATTTAATTGGCCTCCAATATTTGTATTTCTCCTCAGTAGCGAGGACTGAGGAAATGCCATGATCTTACTGTAGCTTGTAACCCAACTCCCTGGTTATTTCAAAGTTTAAAATATCTCAATCATATTCACAAGCATGTTGCAATAACAGTTGGTTTCTCTTTAGCTTTCAATCGATCGACAATTGAACCACTGAACTTGTCATATCATTAAGCATTCAAGAAAGATTCGGTCATTACCCCGCGGCATGCAAAAACAAGCAATGAAATACTAATAGGAATGGAAAAAAATTTCATTGTAATGGTTTACAAATAGTATGCCTGGCATCCTAAAGAATTCTAGATGTTGGAAAGCCAAGTAACTTAAGTTGGAGTAATGCTTTAATTTCTTTCAAACAAGGTAACAATTTATGGAGCAAAAGTACAAACAAATGACTATACAACAAGAGAAATAGATCAACTTTCCCAAAATAACTAATAAACTCAAAACAATTCCTCAATTTTTTTTTGCCAGCTCTATGTCCAACAAAAGAAAGAGAGATTGGAAGGCTTAAAAAAAAATTCGTAGTCATGGTATTTACAAAAGTACCTCAAATAAACTATTATACATAGGATATTAGTATTAATAAAGAAAATGTAAAAAAATTACAAAAAATTTGAATACAAAGAAATAGATATGAATCTCAAGGAAATAAGGAATACTTACTCTTCAAACCTCATCTGTCTCTTTGAGACAAGCTAAATGTAAGTATTTTATGAATGTCCTTCGTATATGGGTGTTTTCCCGGTCTTGGTCAAAGATATCATTCTCTCATCTTACGACCCACTGGCTTTCCTTAATATTCCATTATGCACCATACGACCCAACACTCTTGCCTTGTAAGAATTTTCACTCGAGAAACAAAGTTGACAAAATCTTATGCATTCCATCTTCACAATTCGTCTTAAAAAAATTTTCTCTACTGTGGATTTTTTGGATTGATATTTATTAGTCCCTTAATTATCCAAGACCCAAAATCTTAGGTGAAACCAATCTGAACCATCGTAGCATATCCATCCCGCAAAACATCGTTTTAGTGCCATCCACTATTATGTGTTATGACATCTTTTCCTAGATATCCATAACATGTCTCATTTCTTGACTTGCACTTTGCTTCTCTCTCAACAGTCTTTGAAATAGAGACTCTGCTCCTTATCTAGGTATGACATTGTCTTCCTTAATTGAGAGTCCAACGGATAATTTCATGTGTGTTCCTAATTCACTCAACATCGAGTACATTATCCTTTTCCTATAGCCTGAATTATTCTTAACAAAATATTTAGATTCAAAATCTTCGAGATGAACCAAGCTGGATGCTGCGTCTTTCTGTAACCCCTTCTCTTTCATCATCATTCTTACACGTTCAACGTCATCCCATCTCCCTTGAGTAGCATACATATTTGACAGCAAAATATAAGGGCCAATATCCTGTGGCTCCAGCTCAATAAGTCTCTTGGCTACAATCTCTCCAAGCTCCGAGTCCAAGTGGTTCGCACAACCAGAAAGTAGAGCTCCCCATATTGCAGATCCAGCCTTCAAAGGAACCTTCCTTATAAGCTCCTCTGAATTTTCCACCAAACCAGCTCGACCCAGAAGATCAACCATGCAACCGTAGTGTTCAACCTTGGGCTCAATTTTGTAAACTCGACGCATGAGATCAAAGTACCACCAACCCTCCATGACCATTCCGGCATGAGTACATGCAGATAACACACTGATAAAAGTGGCATCATTTGGTTGTACACCTTCCTTCTCCATCTCCAAGAACAGTTCAAGAGCTTTGTCCCCTTTCCCATGCAATCCATATCCCATGATCATAGAGTTCCATGACACAACGCTTCTGACCGGCATCTCATCAAAAACATCACTGGCCAAATCCATAGCCCCACATTTCGCATACATTGTCAGTAGACATGTTGAAAGTAAGACATCAGACTTAATGTTGTTACTTCTGATAAAAGAATGAACCCACACGCCCATACCAAGCCTCCCTAAACTTGCACATGCTGTGAGCACACTCACTAAGGTAGCCTCATTCGGCATTGCCTCACATCCTTCCATCATTCTCCCAAACAACCGCAAACACTCACCGTAATTCTTCACACGTGCATGCAGCGCCAACATAGAATTCCAAGCAACCACATTCCTAACTGACGCAGGCATCCGATTGAAAAACTCAACAGCCAGACAAACATTCCCAACCTTCGCACACCCATCAATCATACAATTCCAAGACACAACATCCCTTTCGGGCATTGTCTCAAACAACTCATTAGCGGTATCCAAATCCCCAACCCCCACATACCCCGCAATCATGCAATTCCAACTTAAAACATCCCTCTCAGGCATTTCATCAAACAACTGGCGAGCAGCACCAAGTTCCCCATTCTTCACATATCCATCAACCATGGAGTTATAACTGACCAAATCCAACCTATAACTTTCGTTAAAAAGCACCCGGGCAAGACCAATTCTGCCGAAGACAGAGTACATCCGAATCAGCGAGTTCCGTGCGAACAGATCATACCCGAAGCCGAATTTAATAATCCGGGCATGACCCTTTAGCCCTTCTCGGAGCGACCCAATGTCAGTACAAAGTTTGATCAAGAGGGGGAAAGTGTAATGGTTGGGGAGGACAGAACGAGCGAGCATTCTGTTGTAGTAGAAGCGGAGAGCGGCAGGGAAATCGGAATTGCGAGTGTAGGCGCGGATGATGGTGTTGCAGTGAAAAGCATCGGGGTGGTGGAGATGGTCGAAAAAGGAAGTGGCGCGTGGGAGAGTGAGGGAATGGGAACAGAGTTTCTTGATGGCTGAGGTGGCGAAGAGAGTGTGCTGGGAGAGGCCAGAAACGATGAGTGGGACCAGAAGTTGTCTCAACTCGTGCATGTCCTGCCATGACTCCAGTGCCGTAAACAGCACTAGTTCGTGTTTCCCCCTCAGTGCCATTTCCTCTCGGAATTAACATGTGCTTTCTTTCACTTACAACCAACCCTCTCCTATTTTCATTCATTTTAATTTTCAATGTTTATTATTATTGGTGTCTAACATTTTTGCAAAACTAAAGATTGAAGTTTTAAAATTTAGAAATTATAATAATTGATGATTAGTGATCAACTGATGAAAACGATATTCATACTGTTACCCTCACATTCATGCATGACCGAGACATGTAACATTTCCATTACCTTTTCTTCTTGTTGTGAGCATTGGAGGTTGAGAAGTTGTGTAATCTCATAATCATGTTTCGCTCATCAAACATTTTAATAACTAGTTTAACTACAAATTTTAATAAACCTCATTTCTCATTTAATAACTCTATTTCTCATAACTTTTTAATAAGTGAGATCTACCAAAACATACAATTTTTAATAATTTTCAACTAATATAAGGTGTGGGAGAGTGTTAACATTGGTTAAAAGAGATGAATAGTTCATTCTTTTAGTTATGAAAAGCCTGATACTTTAATCTTCGGTTAGCAAAAAGTTTAATCTTAGTTTTTAGCTCTCAAAATATAATTCACATTTTTTATATTATAGTGAATACTCTTTTGTAAAATAAACTAAGACGACCAGGGCTTACAATTTCACGGACTAACTAAATTTAGGGTTAACACTTTTTTTTTTTAAAGTACTGAATCTAGATAAATTGGAAACTGATAATTTCTTCTAAATTTGAATACATTGCTTGCTAGCTTTAATAATTATGATGAAGAACAGTAGAAGGTACATGCGTCAGTGTCGACTTTTGTCATCCGGTCAAAACCACACAATAATGAATAACCAACTAGCCAATTTATAAGTGTAATATTAGTTCTTTCATTGCTACCTCTCCACTTGTTTCCAGTAATTTCTCTCACATAAAGTTGTTCAAGTCTTAAGGACTAATGAATCTTTACAGAACTGAGGCAAACACATTGGAAAATAAATAGCATGAAGCAGAAAGATACAAAACTTTTAGGACAAGGCACATTTAGCAAGCACATCCACCCGCCTCAGATTGGGAATCATGACCACCAGAAGATCTCAGGTTCACATCGACCATATCTTCCTGTTTTGAGGTAGATAATGTTTCCATTCCTGGTAATGCAGCAGCAATTTTTCGAAAGAGGGCCTAAAAAGGTTTGATAAAATAGCAGTACAATAAAATGTCAGGTCCAGGCACATAAACAAGTACATATATCATAATGCCAGCAAGTATATCTAAATTCGAACATATAAGAAGCAAATTTCAGGAAAACTTTAAGTTGTTTTGTATAAACAACCAACTTTTGTCTTCATTCTGAAAGACATATCTCATTGGGAAATGACCCATTGTCCAGATCGATTTATATCTACTATCAACCATTTGAAACATCTCGCCCAAAACAACATAACAGGCTTATATTATCAAAAAATGAAATAAAGTACATGCTCCTCACTACCGGGTGGTGAACATAGCTTTTATTTTATTGTAGACAATTTCAAGCTGATATTTATTAAATATTTATGTCAAAGATTGGAGAAGTTTACCTTTATATTAAAGCCAGCTTTTGCACTAGCTTCAATAAACATAACGTTCAGCTCTCGGGACTTTTCTTCCCCCTCCTCTGTAGATACTTGCCTGTAGTGTCATATTATATAATATTACTCGTAATGAAAAGACAATGCAAAAAATACATTATTCTGGCTAACTTTTTTTTCCTGGATTACGACGCAAGGTGATTTGTCAAGCATTTCATTGGCAACTACTTCTATTGTAATTAGTTTAAATAATTTGTTAGTCACTGTACCATAGCAATCCCCATGCCGGAAATAAGCTACTGACAGAAAATGTAGAACAGGTCATATAACGCATCTAAACATGGATGCAGAGCATAAAAGAAGCATCTCACGGGTCAAACCATAGTAAGTCCATTAAGATAAAATGAAGATCAACTCAAGCTATAGATTAGGCATATACATCACAAACTTCTTTTGCAATGTATGAAGACGTAGTGAAAACTAGGAATCTAGTTTGCTGAAGAGTGCCTCCATTGTCTTCAACGTGGCATTTTTTAGGGCTTAATTCGATATCTTCTTTTCTTCAATATATTTATTATCACATGTATACATCTAAGAGAGAGATATGTGGGGAAAGTGGGAGAAGGGACAGTGAAAGATGTTATGCAATTTGGTTGTCCTTTCACTGTGTTTGCTATATTACCAGCAAAAACTGTTAAAAACATGTTTTTTTTTTCTTGCTAATGATGAATTTGTTTCCTGACTTAGTGAATTTGGAACAAACCATGCATTACGGAAGCTTATTTATGATGAAATAATCGCATTTTATTCAGAAGTTCTCTCATAAAGCTGCAAAAGAAAAGTGATTACTTTCTCCCTAAAATAAGCTAATCCAAACACATAAGAATGTTGTGTAGCCTTTAGAATGATGACATAGGGACACTGTTGTCCGTTAAAAGAATTAGCAGCATTCCATATGCTTTGATAATCTATGAAAGTGAGCACTCCATTTACTATTAGGCTCTAGTAGTGTGATACTTGTCGTGAGTCATTCATTCTCAAGGAACTATTCAAGGCTAGAAACAGTGGCATGGTAACTGTTCCAAGTATGTAGTTAAGAACTTGAACAGTTTATAACTTATTTCACCATGAAACACTAATCCTCCTTTATATGATTGACCAAGTTTTATCAACTTCCATCTATTGCTCACAGTATTGTTCTCAGTCTCATCCCACAGTCTAGCTAGTCCTTGATCAAACAATATCTTCTTTACTAAACTAACCCACAAAGTTTCCCTGAGTGTTGCGTTAGTAATTAGCCAAAAATTAACATCAAATAGGTCATTAGATAATAGCGAACAAAAGAGCCATGTCATGAAATAGGCCAGTATAAAGTATCTGATGAAGCCAGTCTACAATTGATTAGTAATTACCTTTTATCCACAAGATCAGTTTTGTTTCCAACAAGAACAACAATAACATCACTGCCTCTTTCACTGCGCACCTCTTCAATCCACCTTGATGTGTTTAGGAAAGTCTGACGGCCTATATGACAGAAATATTGAATGATAAGAAAGCGTCCATCAATATGTTTAGGAACAACGAACAAAGCTATGCACAAATGATTTGAATCATTCAGAGAGATTCAAGTTGTCTAAGAATAACAAGTAGCAGCTGCTAGCGAAGCTACTTCTGAGAAGCTCTGGTTCCTGATAATATGTCGCCTAGTTGGCACAAGAACCTTCGAGCTCACTTTATGTGAAAAATAAATATTTTACTCACATTCCAAAGAAAGAAAAAGGAATAACTTAAATAAGGTGAAACATTTTTGTTCCTTTTTAATATACCACGTACATGTTCTACTAAGATATAACTCTTCGTCTCTAGTATGTGAAGAAATAAATAATGAATTGCAAATGCAGAGCTTTTTAAATTTGACGTTATAAAAGAAAACAAATATAATTAATTATTGATATAATGTTGTGGTGAAAAATGTGCAACAAACTATAAACTGCCAAGGAAATAGGTGAAAGAAAGCACTTCTATGTAGCATACTTGCAACATCATAAACAATAACAGCAACAGATGAATCCCTAATGTAGCTTGGAATAAGACTTCTAAATCTTTCCTGCCCAGCTGTATCCCTGTAACAACTCGTGCAAAGAAAAGTGAAGATTTCGAGAAGAAAAAAGCTTGAAAGAATTCACTATAAGTATAGTAGTGTCATGTTCAGCTTAAATAAATCCATTTCAAGACCTGCTTTCATGCTATAAAGTTCAGTACAAAGGAGTATACAAGAAGAGTTAACAATATTTAGAATTCATTGCAAATAGACATTGTAGTGAGATTAAAAGGTATAAGATAAAGGGAAAAAAAATAAAACTAATGGATGATATTTTTTGGCAAATACAGGCAATATTTAGATACATCACTTTTGGAGTTTTCTTTAACACAAACCAGGAAGCATGTTCCTATCTTTTAATTTAGTCACATTGAGGAAGAGAAAATAGACATGTGCACCTCCTCATGAAGACTTTATATTAATGAAAACAGTCCCCAAACGAAACAAGGTGCAAATGGCATGACATTATGGATTTCAGGAAGTTTTTTGTAGGCTAAAAAATGCAAAATGTTAGCAATCATAAAATATCTCATCTTTACTAATGCACTTTCTGATATAGCAAATAAATCTTTGAAATAAAATATAAAATAAAACATACAAAGAAACAAGATCAACATCATACTATGATGTGTGTGCAGTTCAGTAATTTGAATATTTAGGACTGGATGAAAGTTGATAAAAAAGGGGAGGGAGGGAGAAATTGTTTGCCCCCTATTTGCAGGTATCTTTTTACACTACAGGATTCCAAAATTTATTTTTTCTGAATGGGGAACGATAAAATTAGATTGTTCAAATAAGCATTGGCATTCCCCTTCTGCCCTTCCTCTTAAATGTAGACGAAACAACATTTTCTTCTCTTTTCATCATTTCATTACACGAATAGAGTTTTCAAAATGATCAAGCAACATCTTACCACAACTGCAGTCTAACAGTTCGATCTTCAAGATACATAGTTTTTGACAGAAAGTCGATACCGATTGTAGCCTGTTTTAAAAAAAAAAAAAAAAAAAAGTTTTGAAAATTTTTAAATTGTAAAGAACTCACTGGAAAAATTGAAATGCACGTAATGCAAGAATTTGCATAAGATATAATGGAATAAAAATGTAAGCAAGTCAGTGAATGCTTACAATTATATCTGCTCATAATGTGTACAGACACGCATGTATGATGTATAGTATATGCACATTAAGGGGAAAAAGAAAGGATATAGTAAACTGAACACTCCAGTTGCAATTGCAGGTTGAAAACGGAAGAAACATAGCATTACTGGTGATACAGAGGTGGAGTAAGTAGATACATTGACCCAGTTGAGGGATAAATTTCTTTTAGTACCTAGTTTTTCTGTTTTAAGAGTAATTTACTACTAAACTAAAGTATTTGGCCTCCATGTAGCTCGATTTGTTGAGACATGTGCTACACTGAAAACTATTTTCTGTTTCTCTTCTCCCTATGCTTAATTCCTACCGTTGAGTCGCATCATTCAACGTAAACATGTCAAAATCACAATTGTATTAGGCACCAAATTTTTGGGATGAAAATTATCAAAAATGCCTACATGCCAATCACATTTGGAAAGAGGGGGAAATGGTAAAACTCAAAGAGGTAAAAGGAGAAGGATAAAATGAATTCCACATCCCAGCGCACATTGGCGTCGTTGAGCTAACATTTTCTTAAAAGCAAACAATGAACCTAGATTCGGTAAATGTCACCAATCATGTTCAAACTGGAACCAAAGCATTGATCACATCCCACAGTAAAATCATGATCTCTTGTTTTCTTTCATAAAAGAAAAGGAGAAAGATTGGGCAATAAATAGTAAAAATGCGATTGGATCTGAAAGAAGAAAACCTGATAAGTGTTGTCGAATTTGTCGTACATGAAGCGAGTGATGATGCTGGTTTTGCCAACGGACTGATCGCCCAAGAACACAAGCTTGTACTTTGCGAGAGCCGACACTGGCGCCATTCTCACAAATCAACCGCAATGCAATGCGCACCTCAGATTTGTGGAACAATTCACTCTGTCAATGAATCCAATTCAATTCTTTCGATAATTCGATTTTGCTTTTCTCTCTTCAGCAATCTCACAGAGAAAGAAAAGCACTGTCAGAAAACGAATACAATGCAAATTAAGTTTTGATTACGATGGGTGTGTGGGGGGTGGGTGGGTGCAATTTTAAATTTATTTTTAGTGCATGTCTAACTGGATTTAATTACTCTTTTTTATTATTATTTCCAACGCAGATCGCTATCATGTTTTTCTATTAATATTGTTAAGGATTAGTTCTTTGCTGGTCAAGAAATAATTTTGCATACATTTTAATTTTATATATTCCATTTATTGAGATTATGAATTACAGTGTTTATGATTCTATTTAAATAAATCTTGAGAAAAAGATAAGTATTAGTTTAGATTTATTCTATTTTCAAAACAAATTATATAATTTATTATGGGTACTTTAAAAAATTGATGAAGATGAGTTGTTTTTATCAAAATTGGTGCTGGACGTCTGAACCGGCAGAATCCATGTCGGCAAGGCAATGATTCAAACGATGAAGAAAAATCAATGACAAATCACATCTTCGGATCAATTTTTTTTTTTAATTAAAATGTTGGTAATCTAAATCACACAAATTTATTTAATTGGTAGATTAGGCGAGTTTGATTTGGGGTTAAATAGTCAACCTAGAACCAAGTTTAAAAAAAAATTGTTCAAAAGTTCAATTGTTCATTTAGTTTTTATAGTTATAAAAAAACATATTTGTTATCCCTATAATTAAAATTATCTAATTTAATTGTTATAAATATTATTTTAATATCGTTTTCTTCTCATACATGTTATATGATACTTGGAAGACTATCCAATTCCAGTAATGTATGAAGAAAAAAATAATAAGGAAGTAAAAGAATTCCAATAATGTAGATTTTTAATCCATTTGGTCTAATTTATTAACCAAGAATTTTGTATAGCATTTTAATACTTGTGCTTTCCCAAATTTAAATATCTATACGCAATATAACACAAGTGTACATTAGTTTAAGTTTTACAGTTTAACTTAAAAAAAATTATAAATAAAAAAATTTAAATATTCAAACTTCGGTTACATAAAATTATAATATCTCAGCATCTTTTTTTTTCGTTCTTTTCTCAAAATTTCTTATTTCATCTCATCTTTTCTTAAATATAAGGACACTTTAATATTGATTAATTCTACCTTATCAAAATTTTAAATAGAGTAAATTTTTATTTTCTTAATTTTATATCATTTTACATGTTTTAGGTTTAGGTCTACATGTGGGTTCCTAGGGGTTTGTATGTAAACTTTGTTGTAAAAAAATAAATGTTAATTAGTTTTGGAGTATTGTGATATGCTCAATTTATTAATTTCAGTTTTTTTGTGAGTATAATCTATCTTCTTGAAAATTAAGGAGTTTTGAGATTCTTTAACTTGGAAGTTAGTTATTTTTTAATTTTCATAGCACTCTATGCTAGAAGATTTAGATTGTGAAAGTGACTTCGTCACATTATTTAAGTTTCAAGGATGGTGTAATTATGTATATGTTGATTGGCGATGATGATATTAAATGTGAATGTATAATTGATTTATATGGTATTAAGCATATTATGAGGTTTGTTGTTGTCACGAATCTATCCAGCGAATTTAAGACAGTGTTGAAAGCATTTACAATTCATTCAACGCTGTCAGATTCGTCCAGCGTATTTTGGACAGTATTTGAGGTTTCACGTTATTGAAATCTCGCTTAGCAGATTTAAAATTCTCTTAGCGCTTTCAAATTTGCTCAGTGCTTTCAGATTTGCCTAGTGGATTTTGTACAGGTTCTTTCTATGAAGATTTCGCTTCACTGCTATCAAATTACTCAATAGTTATCAAAAAAATCATAAAATTAGCTTCAAACTCCAAATTTAACATTCTATATATGAAAATTGAAACCTAAAAATAAGGAATCCAATAAAATAAAAATTAGTTAAAAAGGATGTCTATAAAAAAAGTTATGATCAAAAGAATAGGTAGATGTCAAATTAGACAAGAAATTATGTTTTGTTATAATGTGAGAAATGATATGTATATGTCTTAAGTTATTAAAATACATGTTATGAATATGAAATAAGGTGTGTTAAATGTTATTATATGCCTTGAGAATGTTATGTTGTCATATCATAATTACCAAGAGGTATTCTCATGTATGCAGTATTATATGTATAGATATTGATTTGAAATTTGAAGAGATATCTTGACTCTATTTATAACTAAAATTACATAGATGAAATAATCAGGTGATGACAGTTGAAGGAAGTTTCTAATGACTTAGCCTACGGTGTGAAAAAGAATTGTATCTTGATAAGTTATTTAGAAATTTACCCTAGTCAATGTGAGTATATATACCGAATTGAATACCCTTGTGTTATGTACTCAGGACAGTTGTGGTGTGACAGGTGTAAATCTCTGATGTCTATTTTAATATTTAGTCTTCCGAAATTCGTATAGTGTCTATGTGATGTGACTGTGAGCCTATATGGACATGTGATGTGATATATGAAAACTTTAAATTGAATTATGTTGTTTTATCTCACATTTATCATGTATTTACACGAAGAACAAATTTTACACATGATAAAACTCAAGAGCAGTAGGTCCGAAATTAAAAAGAATATAGATTTATATATATTTTGTTTATTTTAAAGTTATATATATACACACACGGGGTAAAACAATTGAATTTTGTGTTGGAATTCACCATATAAATAGTGAGATGACGTTTTTATTCTACCTCTTAATTAAATATGACAAATTTATTAGTAAATAAACATTTTGTATATTTTTATTTTGAAATTAAATACTGTTAAATTTTTATGTTAACGTTGATTTTTTTTTCTTTTCAAATCTAAATACATTGTGCTGATAAAATTTTCTCTAATCATTTTAGTTGAATATTATATTTATATGTTAAATTAAAGTATATAAAAAATGTATGATATTTCACAAAATAAGGAATAATCTATATTATTTTTCATACTATATATAAAATACTTTATTTTTTATGAAGGTATTTTTTATTGTTTAGTATATAATATATTAACAAGAATTATTTTTAAAAAATAAATATTTTATTATAAATCTCACGTATAAATTATTTAAAATTAAAAAAATTTACTTATATAAATCATTCTAATTAACTTTAAATAATTTATTCATAATAAAATATTTATTTTTAATTTTAAGAAATTCTATTTGAGATCCTTAGCACGTAGTTATAAATTTCTTACGTAAATATTTTGTAAGAAAAACAACTTTTGTGAGAAAATCAAATAGTCATATATAATAATAATAACATTATCAGGTGAATAAGTTATTAATAAAAAATAAGATATATCTTAATTAATGTTATATGAAAAATAAATTTTGTACAAAATCAAATAGTCATAGATAATAAGAATAACATTATCAGGTGAATAAGTTATTAATAAAAAATTAAAATATATCTTAATTAATGTTATATATTATTAAATGGAAGAAGCTAAATTATTAAAAAATAAAAAGTTCAATTTTGGTGGAATAAGTTAGAAGAAAAACAAAAAACAGAGGAAAGTTCTAATAGATACATCTTTTATTCACAACGCATATCTTCTCCACTAAAAATTTAAAAACTAAAATAAAGAAAACAGCATATAGATCTCTATTTAGTTAGTGTGTAACATCTCTAATCTCTGCATGATAAATCCTTTAATTTTTCTCTTAAGATACAATGTTTATCTGTCAAACTCTTATTGTTGAGATAATGTCTCCCATCATATAACGAGGAACACAGCGTACATAATGAAATTTAGGTGTGGCTCGTTTGAGAAGGTGGTGTAGGGGTAGCCAAATGGATGATGCAAAGCGCAATCCCACATAATTGGAAGAGATTATAATTCTCCTGTGTCAAAGGAGAAGCTTCACCTCTCTCTGTAAGACCTTCCTGGCATGTTGATGCTGCTTCCATAACAGAACTCATCCACGTCCTAGTTAGATCATAGTTTCCAGACAAGAAAACCTCCACGGAGTTCACTATTGTCCATGCTGCATCAGAGTACAGTTCCAAGCAATCTGTTAAGCCCTCCAAAGCAAAACTATCAAGGCTTGTGCTATCCAGTAGCTTCTCTATTGTTGCCAACGTGCTAGTCACATTCTCTAGTGCTAGCTCCATTGCAACCAACGCCAACCCTTCAAGATTTGCGGAGTGACTCACTGGAACTACCGGAAGAGAAGTTGAGCATAGACCGTAGCTCAAGATGATAGATTGGTTGGCACATATTTCGCAGGTTTGGTCGATGATGTCCTTGGTTACCCTCAAGGTGGAGCTTGTTCCAAAGGGGAGTGTGATGATAAATAAGGAAAAAAGGGTGAAAGAGAAACGCAGGAAAGAAGGCTGAAACATCATTTGTTTGGTAGGAAGAGAAAATGGTTTGGGTGAGTGTGAGTGTTGCTAGTGCATGCAAGGCTACATATATATATGGTTCATATACATAGATGAAGGTTGAGTAGGTAGTGGGAAAGTACGGTCAAAAAGGAAGTTTCCTTAACGGCTTTTTATTTGCTGCTCAATTACAAGAGAGTACTGTGTTAGCTTTTACGCTGGTCGATCATTTAAGGAGTGCATTGTGGCTAGCAGTTTCTGCAGCAGTGAAATAGTAGGGTTCATTGGTAACTTTCGTGGGAACCATTTTATCTGCGGATGCTTCCTGAGGTCTCACGTAGATGACAGATTCAGTACGGACTAAAGGATTGGACAACATATGCGTTTTTCGTTAAATTATTTTCAAACTATTTCAGAAATTTCAAATATTTATGCAAATTACAATTTTATTTAAGGGTAAAAGAAAATTTTATCCATAAAAATGTATATTATTGTCAACTCATATTTTGAAGTAAAAAAATAAAAAATAAAAGTTTCAAAAAGTTCAACTAATATCTTTACGTCTTTAATCCGGTTTTTCATATAAGTTCCTAAATTTTAGTTTTTTTTTTTAATCGAGTACTTGGTGTAAATTTTCTTTTAATTAAGTCACTATGATTAAAAAAATATAAATTACTTTCCATCCGACATAAATGATTTCAAAGATTGTCTTTTTAGTTTAGAAATCAAATAAAAATTTAGTGTATTAACTTATGGTAAAAAAATTAAAATGATTCAAATACCTGTCTTTTTAGTTTATAAATTAAATAAAAAAATTTAACTAATTAAAATTTCAAAATATTTCAAATATGATTAATTTAAATATGATTTTAAATTAGAGATGTTTTATATTGTCATTATAGAGTCGGAGAGGTAGGATTATTTGTAATTTTGGAAGAATGGATAATATAAATTATTCATTTAGGTGAAATTAATATATATATATATATAAATATATATATATATATATATATATATATATATATATATAATTGGATAACTCGATATATTTTATTTAAATGTTTTTTTATAGCTTTTTTTAGACATTTTTTTCTTTAATAAAATAAAAAAATAATTAAATTAAAAATAAATTTATAATTCATAATAATTTAAAATATATTTAAAGAGTTATACTAAATAATAATAATCTAAATAAATATTACTAGACAAATAATTTAATCTTTATTTTTTAATGTTCATTTTTGAAAACAACTTAAAAAATCATTTTTTATATCGATAACATATCTAACCGTCATAAAAAAATTTAAAAATAAGATTAAAAATGAATTTATCATAAACACTTTTTATGATAATTATTATTTTAACCGTCATATAAAGTTATAATTTTTTTAAAATAATTTGTTTGATTTTATACCTCAACTTTCCTACATAATAATAAATATATATTTTTTAAACAGACTATATACTCAATAATTCATAATATATTTATAATAATATACAAAGTACATAAAAAAAATATTAAGTGTATATTATGTTGTTTAATTTACATCATTCTAAACTAAAACAATTTACAAATTATATAAAAAAATGAGAAGCTCATTGCATTTTTATATCTTCTATAACTTCTTCTTTTAATGGGTATAGATCATTGGATATCTACAAAATCAACATATTTATTAATTAATAAAAAATAAAAAAAGTAATAAATAATAATTAACAAATAATAAAATGTATAATTGACATTAAAAAAAATACATAAAAAAACTCATTTTTTCTATAATAATATCATTCATTTGCAAAGATAACATAGATATAATTAAAGATCATCAAGAACTCTTCAAAATTTGACAAACAAAACAAATATAGAGGATTGAAACTTCTAATGTCAATAATTAATTGAATAATGTTTATTTAATAAGATAGATTCTTAATTTTAAAGTATAATATAATGTGTTTTGAGCTAACTACTTCTAAATATCTCAATGGAGTAACTTTTTTCCGCTCTTATTTTTTTTACCTTAATTTTGTTGTTCTTGTTTTTTAATATTTCCTGCTTATAGTTTTTTATAATGACATAGATTTACATATAGGAATATATTGAACAAATTAATATGTGCAACATGTGCTTGTGTCCTTAAATTTTTTTATATTTACCCATTTCCATGAGTCAATAATGTTAGCATATATGATTGTGTGTATATACTCCGTCACATAATATTCATACTCATGGTTTCCTAGTTGACTTTAACACTACAAAATAAAAATATATGTCATTTTAACAAATGAATAGTAATTATACAAATAACTTACATGCAATATACTAAAATTTCTTCTTATAGCTTGTGGAAGCCTTGGAACTTTATATGTTCATCCACAAATTTATATAAAACAATGAAAATTAAATTATATTAAACAATTAATTCATTAATATTAAATTGTATAACAAATAAAATATATATAGTTGAATAAGAGACTTACAAATCTATTATATATTCCTAATAGCCAAAGTAGTAATTTTCTTATGTAATGAGCTCAAAAGAATTATTAAAAATTGTCGAGAGATAATTATTAATAGTTGTCAATAAGTCCTAAAAGTTGTAATAACATTAGTACTAATACAAATTGAAAGGTAAAAATAATTGTTAAGTAAATATTATATACTTACTCATGTTATTCCTTACGCTCTGAATGACAATAAAGTTAAAAAATCTATAAATGTAAGCGTCCTTCCTTTGAATACAAAGATTATATAAATATCTTATATATGAAAAAACAATAATATTAAAATAACATATTAAATGCATTAAAAAAATTTAAGTTAATAAAAACATACGTTGTAGTACGGTATACATAGAGTATCAGTGTCAAGAAGAATATCAAATTATATTTTAAACAAATAAATGCTAAAAATATTTTAACTTAAGATAAATATTTTAAAAGTTATAATTTTTGTATTTGTTTAATTAGAGAATAATTTTTATGATAAATGTTGTAAATTTAGTGGTTAACTCTTTATAATTTTGTTTAATTATATTAGTGATTAATGTTAATTTTTTTAACAAATTTTTATAGATTTTATTTATTCGTAATATTTATTTTAAAAAAATACGATAATGTTGTGATTTATTGGATGACCATTAATTTATTAATAATTTGTTAAATTATTTTCAAGCTTTCTATTTTTAATTCTGATTAGTGTAAAAATAGTTAATGATGTGAATGATATTAAATATGTAAAAAAATTGAAAGTTAATTATTTATTAAAAGCATTAAATTCTGCAATGTTTATCATAATAAAATTATATTATCTATAATTAAAAAATTATAATTTTTTAAATATTTATCTTAACTTAAAATAATTTAAAAAATATTAAAGTATTTATTATATTGTTATTTGAATATATATTAAATTATTTTGTAGTATAATTTAAAAAAAACTGTTGATTATTTATGAAAAATAATTATAGATAAAAATATAAAAAAAGAATAAAGAAGTGCAGAAAAAAATTAATGATCCGTAATATTTTAGACGTAAATATGATATATTAAACGTGTGTGGAATAAATAATCTCACGGAGAAAAGCGAGGAATCTGCTAAACTATCTTAAATAAACTTCGCCTGTAAAATCGTGTTATAAAATAAGGTTTTATTTTATTTTTTACGTTTTTAATATTTTTGTTTTTTAGTGAAGTTAGGTTATCGATTTCATTTATATATATATATATATATATATATATATATATATATATATAATTTATTATAATCAAAATTAATTTAATTATAAATAATTAAAATAATATATAAATACCATAATTAATATTTATTATTTAGCATAAATATTATTAGTAATAATTATTATTATTATAATAATATTAATAAATAATATAATAATAATAAATATTATTTATTTTATTTATAATACTTTTATCTTTAATATTATTTTTATTTTTATTAATAATATCATCATTTGTTTTATTTTTTATTTTACAATTATCATAATTATTTATTGATAATAATAAATTTTATTATAATAATTAAATTAAAATATTTGAAAAATTCATTAAATTATTATTATTATTAACTAAAAAATTAACATTAAAAAATAAAAGAAATTATTAATTAAAATTTTTCATCAATACTTATTATATTATATTTATTACTTTAGAATTTAATAAATTATTAATAGTGATAATTATGATATAAAAATAATAATTGTAACTATTTAGTTAATAATCTATAAATATAATAATAATAAAAGTAATAATAATAAAATTAATAATAATAAGTATTAATTATTTTATTTGTAATATTTTTATCTTTATTACTATTTTTACTTTTATTTTAATATCATTATCAATTTTATTATTTATTATTAAAATTATCATAATTATTATAATATTAATTAAATAATTATAATTATTACTATTAATAATTTTATTAAATTGTAAAGTAATAAATATAATATTAATAATAATAAGTATTAATGAAAATTTTTAGTTGATAATTTATTTTATTTTTTAATCTTAATTTTTCAGTCAATAATAATTATTGAATGATATTTTAAATTTGTTATGTAATTATTATTATAAAATTTATCATTAAAAATAAATAATTATGATAATTTTAATAATGAATAATAGAATTAATAATGATATTAATAATAAAAATATAAATAATATTAAAATAAAATATAAATAAAATAATTAATACTTATTATTATTATTATATTTATTATTTATTATGTATTATAGTTTTAATATTAATTATAATAATTAATAATTAATAATAATATTTATAATAAATAATAATTTTATTTATTTATATTTTATCAATAATTAAATTTATCTATAATAAATTAATATTAATTATATTAATATTATAGAAATTAAATTTATAAAATAATTAACAATAATAAAATTTATATCTTTTTTATTTTTTTAAGATTCATATAATAAAATTTTATTATATTTTTATTTAATTAAAAAAAAAAAAAAAGTGACTGACTTAGCTAATGTGCCCACTGAATTGGTGGGTTGGCTATCGCTGGTCAAATTCTTTTAAAATTATTTATTTTATAAAACCAATTATGGCCAATGCATGCAGAGAGTTTTCATCATGCTTTGTTTCACTTTACTTCCCATGGTAGATGATGATAAAAAAGATTATTTAGCAGAATGCAAATATGCATAGAATAAATAGATTAAAAAAAGACATTATTTATTAGCATTTAAAACCCATTCTGGTACATGAATTTTGCAGAATGAGGATTATGTATAGAGGGTCTTGAGAGGGTGGTAATAAATTTGATGAGTCAAGAATGTTGACCAATTAGAGGGATGAAATAGATAGATATGAGACCGAGTTCGAAGAAGGAGTGGTTCTCCTTTGTTATAGGAGATGTTACACCTTCCCCTTCCTTGAATTGATCTTCACAAGTATCAGTGAAATCCAAGGAAGATTCAATTTGTCTTTTAGCGGCGTCGAAATGCTTGGACTCGACAGCGGCCACAGCATCATCTAAATCCGAAACGGCGTCGGTGTAAAATTCAAGGCAATCACCTAAGCAAGACTTTACGTATGGATCAGTATTATTCTTCAAGAGCTTTGAAACGATGGAAACTATGTTGGTTGCGTTGGATTTGCTTTCCTTGATTGCAAGCACCACAAGGTCTTCCACGTTGCTCGGTGGCGCTCTCAACTTGGAGCTCGCCTCTTCAAGGAATGCAATGCAGAAATCATAATCAAAATATTTATCAGTCTTCTTCGCCTTCGCGCAAGAATCCGTGATAAGAGGATTTGACCCCTTCGAGCATTCAAAGAGAAACACAAAGAGAATCACTAGGCATGAAACCAATTTCATTCTTCTTTTTCTTTTTTCTCTTATTGGTAGAATGTGTTTCTGAGAAAATCCCCAAGAGCTGTGCCTCAGAAAGCGAATTGAGCTCTGAATCAAAGGGGAATGGCTAGAGGTTTATAAACTTTGAAAAATACATTGAATCTTAACTAAAATAATATAATATAGGTAATTAATAATAACCGATAATATCAATAATTTTTTATTAAAAGAACAAAGCCTTTATTGATGGTCAATTAAAACTGAAATCTTGTCTTAATAATCTATACTGACTTTCCAGAAAATATTGTTTTATGCTGACTATTATTAACATAAAACTTCAACGCTAATTGAATAACAATACCAACAACACTTATATAAAATTGAAGGTAATAAGTTATTACCTTATCAACATGTGTTTATTTCTATAAAATTAGCGTTATAATATTTTTTCTTTATTTTTCTACTATAAAATTTGAAACTACTCTTTTTAGTCTTCATAAAATGTGTGGTTTTTTATTTTATTATTTAACTTTCTGTTCAACATAAATTGATTATTGTCGTATAACACTATATCAAAAATAAAGAATTTTTTAACATTTAGACACTATTAAAACTCGCTTATTTTTTTCAGAAATTTATATTATATTAAACTTAAATACTAATATGAATGTGATCAAAACAGAAATATATTTTCTGAAAATATTCCATTTAATTAAATAAACAAATACATTATACACATTTTATTGGGATTGGTTTTTGGCAGGAAAACCATGTCACAAGAAATTGAAGCTAAATTTTATATTGCTTAGTGTTTGCACTTGTTTAATCTTTTTATAAATGTCATATATATTATCTCAAAGCGACTGAAATTTTTGTCACGTAACTCTTGTCTACAAAACATCGATGCATATATTAAAATAATTACAAGTTGTGTTAAAGTGAGAATTACGAGTCTTTTTATAATATATTTCGTGTTTGATATTTAAAATATTTTTAATCAAAATGGATTAACGAAACAAAATATACAAGATATAATAAGTAAAAATTGCAAAATTAATTATAACTAAAGAAATGAGTTAAAATCTAGTTTTATTACAAGAGATATTTTCTTAAAATAAAGGATTCTTTTTGAGAATTGTATGTTTTAGGGTCGTGAGTTTTCTAAATCCTGAGTCCTTGAAAGCAGTGTCCTATGCTCCAAATCACAGTAACTAAGCTGTTACGATCTTTTTAGAAGCTGAGAATGTTGTGTACCTCTAAAAATTTTTGTACAATTTTATATTTCAAGAGCGATTGAAGGACAGTTCACATGTACCTGGGTATCTAAGGATTCGCTCACCTTTTGTACCAGCAGTGTCCAGGTCCTTGGCCTTGAAAGCAACCACAGCAGCATCTAATTCCGAAACCATATCCTTGTATGAATCAAAGCAACCTTTTAGGCAATGCTTTGTGTGCTGATCAATACTTGTGTCCTCCAACAGCTTCCAAATGAAGGAAAGCCCGTTGGTTGCATTCGACTTGGTTAACTGAATGGAATTCACCCAGTAATGTTCAAGGTTGCTGCTTGGTGGCTGCCAATTGGAGAGGTATGCAACACAGAAATCAAAGCTAAAAGTTGGGTCAAATTTCGAGGCCTCCATGCAAGATTCAGAGACAAGAATATTGGAGCCATTTGAGCTTTGAAAGAGAAAGAGAGAGAAAAGCACTAGGTATGTAGAGAATTTCATTTTTGTGTTTTGCGTTTACGAGAATTTCTGCAAATAAAGAGTAACTATAAATGAACCTAACTGAGACTTGGAAGGTGGGCGTATAATGAGAATTTTTGGAAATAATGAGTTGTATTTGTGAGTGGATCAAACTCAATCTCCTCGATGAATCTTCTATGTTTAAATAAAAATCCAACCTAACCAAAATTATTATATGATAATTTATATTCTATGAAATATGTTAGAAAATTATTCTAAAAACCACGACAAAAGAAATAATTTAATCTATATTAAATAATTATTCAAATTAAAATAATATTTTAAGAAATTTGTGACCATTCGTCTTCTTTCGAACTCAGTCTAACAAAATAAATATCAAGCCTTGCCTTAATTAATCTATATAAAACCTTATTATATATTATATCTATATTAATTTATAGACATGTAACAAGTTTTCAGATTTTCTTTAATAATTATATAAGAAATTATAATATCATTTGCTTGTAAAATATGAACAAAAATATGAAATCCTTTGGTAACAGGAAGTTTATAATCTTTTAAGAGAATTATATCTGAACGGACAATGTTATATATTAATATTGTGTTATATTACATAATTAATCCAGATTAATTTGACTTAGTATGGTTTAAATAAAAATTATTAAAAAAATAAGTATAAGTTAAATATTATTCAAATATTGAATAAATTTATTTTTATTAAAGATTTAACTCAAACTAAATAGCTATAACTAGTATGTTTGAATGACATAATTATTTTTTATATATTAGAAAAATGAATTCAATCAATCCTGCATGACTGAATAAAAAAAATACTATAGTAAAATTATATGGAAAGGTTTTATTTTTTTCATTGTAATTTATATGTTTAGTGTGACAAGACTCTATTAACATATTTTAAATGATAAATAAATATTATATAAAAAATATTACAAATGATAATGTCAATGACTAACATTTATAATTTTTTATTGGTTATATTTGAAAATATTGTTAAAATTCACTACTACAAAATATACTTTCTACGTCGTCATTTAACGTCGGTTATAGCTGAGAATGACGACGTAGAAAGTACTTTCCACGTCGGTTCCCGAGATGAGACGACGTAGAAAGTACTTTCTACGTCGGTTCCCATATAAACCGACGTTGAAAGTCTTTTTTTTTTTTTTTTTACTTATTGACACTTTCCACGTCGGTTCCCATATGAACCGACGTGGAAAGTCTTTTTTTTTTTACACCCAAAAACTCACTTAAATTTGAAAATTGTCATTTGGCAGGATTCAAACCCAATACTTTAGAATTGGAGGTTGATACTCCAACCACTAAGCTACTAGAATTTTCTAATAATAACTTACAAATAAATTATATTTATATACAAATAAATATATATCCATGTAAATATATATTTATTTGTATATATTTTCTGGAAAGTATTTTTATTTTTATTTTCAGCCAAAAATTCTCTTAAGTTAATGAATTGTCATTGATAGCATTTGAACCCAGTATTTTAGGGTTGAAAGTTAATATCCCAACCACTAAACTACTATAATTTTTTGATAATAACTTACAAATAAATTATATTGGTATTTTTCGATCGAGGGTGAAAGTATGATTGACTCTTGCTTGAGTGAAAATATGTTAAAGCTCACGAAAATTCACTTACTCAAGTCTCGCTTGAGCGAAAATTGGTATTTTTCGCTTGAGAGAAAATAACGCGTTTCCCAAATTTATTTTATATCATTATATAAATAAAATTATAAAGATTATATTCGTCATTAAATTACAAACTCATATAAAGATACCTGCTCACAAATTTAGCATCAAATTTTGAAAACCCACTCGACACACACTTTCACTTTCGAGTGTGCCCTCACATCCAACATATAAATATATAACTATATAAATATATCAAAATATATAAATATATTTGTATTTATATATTTATATATTTACACGGATATATATTTATTTGTATATAAATATAATTTATTTGTAAGTTATTATCAGAAAATTCTAGTAGTTTAGTGGTTGGAGTATCGACCTCCAACTCTAAAGTACTGGGTTCGAATCCTGCCAATGACAATTCTCTTAAAAAATTAATAAACTTCTAAAAAATATAATATAAAGAGATGGAGGACCTAATAAAAATATAATATAAAGAGAGGGGAGACTTCTAGATAAATAAAAGGGGGGTAAAGGGGTTGTAAATAAATAAAAATTATTAATTTAAAAAATCATACTTTCAACGTCGGTTTATTAGAACCGACTTTCAACGTCGCTGATACAACGTCACGAAAGCTTTATTTGTAGTAGTGCTTTTTACAAACATAAATGTTACACATTTATTGTGCAGTATTATATTCTGAATATTTTTTAAAACAGATAAGCTAAATTATATTTTTTTAACAAATAGTTTAATTTATGTAATTAATTGTCATTATTTTAAAACATAATTCGTTTCATTTTTATGTTTTTAAAATTCACAGTATTCATGCATTTAAGACTAAAAATCTAACATATAATAGAGGAGACATCGACGCATGATCTTATCACAATATTCATGGGTTTGAAATGGAATGTTTACACATTGACTTATGTAACGATCATAGAAATCGGTACTATAATGATGTCTTCGTAAAGTAGTAAACAAGTAAATAACGACATCTATTTTACATTATATTACTGTAATTGTAACATAGATTGAAATTTCAGTTCACTAACGGAACTTCAAAATATAATAACATAATTTATTTATATATTATACATGTAAAAGTAGCTCCTTCGAAGCTATCCCACTGAACTATCCATGTTGTCCAGTAGTCATATCTCCATCTCTCAACTCCTGATCTGCTCCCACATAAAAGTGATCATCGCAGTCCCATCCACATAGAAAAATAGGGGTAAATATTAAATCATTCGGTATAATAAAACAGATATAGAAGTACTAATTATATATTATGATCAATTATGAAATTATCAACACACTAAGACACCTTCCGAAAGTATACCCTAACTATGCCCGAACTCAGAGACTATCATCTGTGGACACATTGTGATCGGTACCCGCAGTACCATTCTGACCACCCTCCACACAGAGTAGGATTACTGGCGCCCTTCATCACTCATACTGGAGTACCCCTCCGAGCGCGCCACCAGTCATCCCCCATCGACTTCTCACTGCCTGATCTCGTAGTCTACCTGACCCGACCAATTAGTGAAGTCTGAGACCTCATTCAGAATCCTCCGACATAGTTATTACTCTAATGTACTTTGTACCATCCCGGGTACCATTCAAACATAACAAAAATTATTCACATTTGCCGGATTCTGGACCACCTGTCCTCACGATTCATTCGGGTCAATAAAAATAGTATTTGACTGATTCTGGCACCAACCCTCCGGCTCAGTCTAGCCAATATATAACGTCTCATGATCGATTCCGGGCATCGACCCTCAAGCTCGATCCGACTCACACACGTCACAACACACTACTTTCATTCTCTCTCTCTATATATATATATATATATATATATATATATATATATATATATATATATATATATATATATTTTTTTTTTTTTTTTTTTTCTAAAATCATTTCCGAAATCATTTTCGAAACTATTTTCGAAATCATTTCCAAAATCATTAAGTTACTATTATGCCCTTAATCTTTTCTTAAAATTCCATGTATGTCCCTAAATGACTATTTTATCCTTGGACATTTTTGAAAATTCCTTCCATGTCCCGAAAATGACTATTTTACCCTTGAACATTTTCAAAAATTTCTTCCAGGATCCGTATTCTGGGTTTGTTTTTGCTTTATGTTTGTACCTTATTCTAATTTATCATAATCCTGAGGAAAATAGGAAGTGTAAGGATGTGATTTCAAGTGTGTGATCTGTTATATACTTGGTCACAGACCATATTTACTGGGCCTCAATTTGGGTTTTCTGTAATCTTGATTCATTGATTATTAGAGATAGCTTACATAGTTAAATAGTTAGAATAACATATTACAGCATGTAAAGAATAACATCTCTCATCTATTCAAAATAATCAACTCAACTCTGGAAATGTAGAGGAACATAGTTTTATAGTTAACTATGTAAGCTATGTCTAATATTGATGGTTGGGAAAAGCTAACTCATAAGTTTGGTAACCTGTATTGATTCCTGGTATTCCACATAAATTGATACATTACTAGGAATAGTTTGGTAACCTGTATTGATTCCTGGTATTCCACATAAATTGATACATTACTGGGACATGCCTGGATGCATTAGTAATTGAATCTGACCAAAAATTTTTAATGAAATATAATTGTTCAAAATGTTGAGAAGCAGGGACAGTTGATGAAGTGTGATTTATTACTCATGATTATTTTCTTATGATTAATTTTTTATTGTGTTTCGATGTATCAGAGTCTCTGAGATGACTTAATTTTTCTTCATGCATGTGTTCATGTGTTTTAATTGAGATATAAATTTTATCATAGTTTGGCTCCATCTTAATTTTGCATGACATTGATGAATCATATTTCTTGATGGCAGCTTGAAGAGGTCAAGAAAGTTTCAACCTGAAGATAGACTCTTTCCATTATCTTCAGTGACCTCACCAATGGTATGTTTCGATATTCGATGATATATGCTTTGAACAACAATAGAAAAAATAACATGCACTAGTTAATGCTATATACGTTTTCTATGTAAGATAAGAAAAATATATCTTCGTACAGTTCATCTCTTGTTCAGTTTGACATGCTTGTTTAGAAAAAAATGGGCATAACATAAATACTTTTGTTTGATAATGAAAGCATTAGAATGTCAACTTCTGGGAAGAGAAGAGGTGATTAGGACATGTTGGAAGAATGAGTTTTTTGCATTTTTGGTTACATCCATGATTCTGTGCTATTTTGATTTAATCCCCAGCCAAGAGTAATGGTAGAGTAGAGCTCAGTTAGGAAGTAAGGCAATTTGATCTGATGATACAATCAATTTGGAGCA